CTTCAGAGCGCCCGAAGTCAAAGTGGGCTGGAGGAAGATAGCGTAGCGAGCGGCCCTAGCCGCCATAGGTTAGAGAGAGCTGTTAGGGTGTATGTGTGCATGATATAGAGTGAGTGTGCGTGGGGTATTCAGGGTGATCCCGAGTTGAGTGCATGCGAACAGATGTGTTGGACACTGTGACGAGAGTTGGGATGTATAGGCGCCGACGCGCCATAGCCTGATGAAGCGAGTCTGCATCTGAACTGTGTTCGTGGTTTCCATATCTCTGAGCTTTGAGTGGGCGCTTGGCGCCAGTGTGAATCGTCATCTGTTTGCATGTATGCGAAGTGGAAAATAAAGCGAGTGTGATTGCAAAACGGCACACACACACACGGGGTAAGTAAAAATAACCCTATCTACTAGTGTGCTACCTAGGGCCTGAAGGGCCGCTGTGGGCCTCCAGGGCGCGTGCTGTATGGCACGCGGCCTGGGGGCCCCTCAGCAACCATCGGGCCCCTCAAAATGGGGCCTGTGTGCAGGCGCAGCATGTAACACATTCACTTATCCGTCCATGCACATCATACAAACAAAACACAGCTCATGGCCCATGCAGATTTTCATAAGATTGATTCCAGCGTGGGAGCCCTCGACTTTGGCCATGAAAAATTCCAAGGAAAATTAACAGGAAAAGAAAAAGAAAATGAAATTCAATGAATTGAAATGATGCTATGATAGGCTTATTACTAAGTTATTACTACTTATTAGCCTATCCAGCTTGAATTTCTAAGTTTATTTTCGTTTTGAGTGACCATGGAGATTGACGTTCACTTCTCCCTTCTGTATGGGCGTGAAGTGCTTGATCACCTGCTTTTTATTCTGTTTGTGATATGTTTGAGCACCTGTTTTGTGAATTGACTGATACAAAATGCCATAATGCATGGAGATACATGCTCACTTCATCCTTCTGTTTGCAGTGTTTGGCATCCAAAGGCCATAATTATCTTCAATTGCAGCAATCTGGCTAAAAAAAAGAGTGGTTCGCTATCAGCATGGTAAATTCCCCTCAGTTATTTCAAACAATTGAAAATTGAAATGGAATTGCAGAACAGAAACACTGAAATGGTCAAAGTTTGAGGGAGGCTTACACATTTGGGTATGGGATGCCAACGACAATCTGGAGTTCTGAGAGTCAAGGAAACCCCTGGATGAATCCTCTGGCAGCAAGCAAGTTACCGCCAGGAGGCTAGAATGGCAGGTCAAAATTCACAGCAGACAAACCGCTGTTCAACAAAAACCCACAGTCGAACTGCGAACAGTATAAAGCTGACCCGTAGAGGAGAACATTGTTTTACTACGCTGAACTGGAAGGGCCAGTATCTTCCATTCTTTTCCTGCCATCTAATTGATAGTATGATCATAAGCATGGTTACGATCCGAACGTTCGGACCGGAGCGCAGACGGTCTTGGTCTGGATGTCCGGGTCTGGTGTCCGGTCCAGAGCATCTGGATCCATCCCCCCACAACCACCCCCCCCAAAAGAAATCCGACTTAAAAAAAAAATCAAAAAAATCTGAAAAACGATGGGCTACCAGACTGGCACAGGCCCGGCCGCCCGGCCGAGCAGCCGGGCCAGTGCGACTAGGACCCTCTTGCCCCGGTCACCCGGGCGAGTAAAAAACAAAACAGTCAAAACTTTTTTTTTTTCCCTGATGATGGGGCATTTTTGCGCCCTGCAATCATACTCGACTTATTCACACTTCATCTTGCTTGCAAACAGCGATACAGCGAACTGGCGACATGCGCCCACACAATACTCAAAGATATCGTAACCAGATATGAGTTCTTTTCCAACTGGCTATGGCGACTGTGCGCCCATACAACTCACTGTTCACACTCGAGATCACCCTGGATGTCCCACACGCAACACTCAATGTTCATACACAACACACACACACTAGGCTATGGCTATGGCAGCACTAGCTGCCACTGCCCTATCGCTACACTACACTTCTCTGCCCACTTYGTYTTCGGGCACACTGCAGACCTCCTCGCACAAGCTGCTGAGGCAGCGCTTCCGCATGGCATCCGCAGGAATGAATGAATGGCTGGACGCAGCCTCTTGATTTATACTTCTGCGCTGCGTTGGTCTGCCCT